GTTCACTGCCACATCATACTGGGGCAATTCCCTTAGCAGCTTCAGGGGTGTAACCTTTGGGCAACCAAGCTTCCACACAGCAGATGCTTTAGCATCACCACAGAAGAGGTCGAAGAAGTGATAGCGAGGTTCAATTGTCGGGAGATTGTCCATCCACATAACTCCCAGGACAATGGCTATCAGCACCTAGCCAAACAAAGCTAGCAGCTATATATATATATATATGGCTCCAGCCCCTCAAACCGTAAAGCAGAAAGAGAGAGCTCCAAGGTAAAGGTACCTGACAAGGCATACATGCATGATGCACCTTCGGGGCTCCCAATTGGGCCAGGTTCATGACCATGCTTTCGACTTCCATCTTGAACGCGCCCGGTTTCACCCACTCAAAGGTGCGGAAGAGAACGGATCAATTTGCTTTTGACACACAAGACCTAGCAACTCAGCTGCGCAGGCGCAGACAGGGCGCACCTGCTCGTACTGCCCAGCCCTCATGTAGTATCGGCATTGTTGGCCTCCAAGTGTGCAAAACGTACTGATGGGGTTCAGCCCACTTCAAAAATTGCTAAAACTTTAGCAATTTTTGAAGTTGGCTGAACCAATGCAGAAATCAAATCAGACTGCTGTTCATAATGCACAGGAAATCACAGGAGTCTCACACTGAGAGGATTGATTTTTTTCTGCTCAACGAATCTCTGCACTCACTGCCATGTGTGGTACATGGATTGGAGCACAGCGCACGCACTAGTGAGGCATACACACTTGTGCAGTCCCAGTGCATGATCATCATGTGATATCACATGTAAACCCCAAGATTGCTGCAGCCTTCTGCTGCCAGCACTCCCACGTGTAACTCGAGTTCAAGTTACATTCCCACAAATCTTCAGCTCAGACTGTAGACGCGTAGGCCTAAGGTTCAATCAACTTTTCAAACTGCAAATTGTAACAAGACAAGTTCTTCTATATGATGTCTTCTTAATGGTTTGGTTTTCAAATTTCAATTCTTTTATGCGCAACAACGTTTTCTGTCAAGTAGCTTTCTTTGCCTCCAAGCGTGCTGTTTCTTCATCTAAGCCATTCTGCTTTGCTTGCTTGTATGCGCAATGGTATGCTGAACTCTTCCGGCTTGCTTTAGCTTTCCCTGCTGCGTTGTCCTTTGCGTTGTTCTGTGTCTTTGCATGTCCTTTTGGTGCTTTGCTCCTGCTGCTTTCCTTCTGTTTCTTCTCGCTTTGATTCTTCTTCAGCCTCTTAGTGGCTTTCATCTCCTCCCCCTGTTCCTCCTCCCCCTGTTCCTCCTTCGACTTGCTCTTGTTCTGCTTTTCCTTCTTCAGCCTCTTGACTGAAGGAGCCTCAGGTGCATCCGTCTTACCTTTTGCCTCCCTTTCCTTGGGCCTCTTGGCTGAAACAGCCTCACCCTCTACCTCCCTTGCTGCTGCCTTAGCCTTCTTTGTTGGTGCTGAACCTGACTGCTCAGCAGCTTTGCCCTCCTCATCAACCTTTGTCAGTTTCCTTCCCTTGCTCTTGATAGTCTCTGCTTTGTCTTGCTTAGTTTTGCATTGTTTTGCTCGCTTTGCTTTCGGTTCATCTACTTTAGGCTTGGCTGGAGTGATCCTTCTTTTGCTCCGCTTTGGTTTCTCATCCTCCTCTTCCTCAGATACATCCTCGCCCTCCTCCTTTTCCCCTTGCTCCTCATCCTCATCCTGCTCCAATTCATCCTCCTCCATATCATCATCCTCCATTTCATCCTCCTCCACATCCGTTTCAGGTGCCTTGCGTCGCACTGCCTTGGCCTTCGCCTTGCTCTTGGCCTTAGCCTTAGCAGCTTTCTTTTTCTCTGCATCTGCCTTTTGTTTTTCCAACTCTTTCTTGGTAGTTGTCAGCTTTGTTTGCTCTGTTGGTGAGACAGGTGTGAGCGAATCTAGAACCTTTGGGCGGGGGATGGTGATGTTTTCCCCCACAGGTTCAGGTGTCTCCTCAACTTCTTTGAACGGCACCTCAGGCTCAGCTGGGCTTGCTGCAGCGTGAACAGCAGGCTCCTGCGTTTGAAGAAGTTAAACTAGTTATCCAAGCAGGAAAATTGTTGGCCAGTCCTCCACGTGAAGATCCATGGGCAGAGTCTCCACAAGGTCGATATTCTTGTTCATATACAGATCACCTTATCCAGGTTGCGCTTGCATAGTTTCAAAGATTTCTATACCCTGCAGTTAAGCAAACATGCAGCACTGCACAGGTTTTCATACAAGGAACTTGGGGCAACTGCACTGCCAGACGGAATCGTAGAATTCAACATGGATCGTTCAGCTTCTTGTTCAAGTTGTTCCTTTTCAACAACAGCATCAAGCTGAACCTGCAAGAGTTCCTCCTCTTCCTGAAGTAGCAGGAGTTCCTCATACAAGCTCTGCTCAGTTTGAAGCATTGCAAGCTCTGACTGCAACAAATCCTCTAAATAAGAATCTGATGTTTCCTTGGTGTCACCGGAAACCACTTCATTCTCAGTCGAGGGTTTGGGCAGTTTCTCTGTGCTTGGCATCTCATCAAAGACAAGTCCTGAGATGCAAAAACACGGAACTTAAAGTGACACCACGACAAAACACGTAATTGAGACAGCTAGTTCTTCACATCTTCACAAAAATTAAAAACATATCAACTCTTTTTTGATGCTGCTGGGGTTCCTTTGGGGGATGGGGTTGGCCCAATGTCCGACTTCCATGAAGAAACCACCTCTGGGGAAGCTACCACCGGTGGAGAAGCTACCTCAAGGTCAGGTGGAGAAGGGCTGCGTGTTTGTAACAACTTATCATCTACCACAGGCTTTTCCTCAATGTCCTCAACCTCCACTACAGGGTCTTCTTCCAATTCCTCCTCTTCAGCGTCCTCGTCAGGCTCCGCTGTACCTCAACACCAACAAGGGCAGGACAGCTGAGATCAAAGACTGGCAACTCAACTGCAGGTAAGAATTGCGGTGGAGGCACCCTGATCCAGATCCCCTTCCTCCAAAACAGTGGCCACCGTGCCAGCAATTGAAGCCTCCCAACGGCTTGGCAGGTAGAAGTGGTTGAGATGTGAGCCAGATCCATGCAAAGTGTTTGATTGCTGACGTTAACTAATCAAGAGCCTCACCATCATCATCTTCTGCAAGGTCAGAAGCACTGCTGGAACCTCAACGGGTTTTCATTTTCATGCCCCTGGTCCCCTGGTCCCTGAAACCGACTACTAGTCTACAGCCCTAAAATACATATGAAACTGAATGAAACTGAGAAGCGGGGATCTGAAGGTAGCTCAATGCCTGCTGATTGAAAGAGTTCTCTCATGCCAGGTTCACGTGGATAGTGCCCACGGGAAGCAGCGCGGGTGAACAAAGAGATCAAACGTCTGACCAGCCACGCCTGTCCACGGGCAACAGCACCTCAAGACGCCGCACATGCATGCATATGTGTCTTTGGGGGTTCAAGTTTGCACCATCCATTTTTAGGACCAAACATCTATATGATTCTATATGCATTCAAGGAACGTGGGAAGGCCGGTTTCCCCCTAGGGCGCATTTGATATAGGAACTCTTCAACAAGGTCAGTCAAAGATTCCACTGAATGCTTCACCCCCATGTGGAAAAGCACTGGCGCAACCACATGAGAGTTGGCAATGACATCACCCCGTTGCAGCCCGTTTCTGTCCGACACCGAGACCAAATGGCCCGCTGCACCCTTGGTCGCTATAATCTTGTTGGCCATCCATTCTTCAACAACAGGGTGAACCATGGCACACACAAAAACGCGCAAAGGTACTGCAAAGCACCTTGACGTTCAAGCCAAATGCTTTGGAGCAAAGGAGGTGGTATGAATAGTGGAACTGTCAGGGATTCGTCAAGACCTCCTGTGTAGAATGAAACAAGTGGAAGCATGCACGGTGCCTCCAATCACACGTAGTTCCAACCAAGGTCTCCAGCCTGTCAGGTAGAACCCAACTAGTTTGATGTTCATTATTTTTCCTTTGATGAGGCACCACTTGAATTGAAAAAGTGTTTCAACTCAACACATGCAAGGAAAACCTCGGCAGCCTTTCACCACCAGCAAAGTTCTTAAGGTACCTTTCCAGAAAGAGCGTCAGCAAATCAAGATCAAATACATCAATGTGAGAAAATTGTTGAAGATGCATAAAGTTGACAGGGGTACCTCAAATCCTTGGGGTTCAGGGTGTCCACGCCAAGCCATGCATCCCGCCGTACCTGTGGCTGAGCCAAGGCAGCGAAGGACTTGCTCAGCGTGCACAACAACACACTCAGGGCACACAGCTAGCGCACCACAGGGGCTAGACAACAAAACTATGGGCCACAATGGCTAGTTTGAGGAAAACGCTCGACTTCTCGAAATGCGCTCGAGACAGTTCAAGAACATGTGGATCTATAGAAAAGGCTCGAGAGTTAGAGAAAAAGCTACGAACAAGTGGAGGGGCAATAATTAATGATACGTTGGATGATGTAGGAAGCAAAAGTCCCCTTTGATTGCCTGGTTCTTTGCTATGGCTTTTGCCAAGTTGCCGTTGCGAAGTCCAAAGAACAAAAGTTGAACGACAATTGATTGCTGAGCGAAAGCAAGAATCGCCAGAAAAACAAAAAGGCATAGAATGTGACTACCCATGCTTGTAAATCGTGCCATTTCGCATTTATTGTAACAGTGTCCAACCCAAGTCTAAAGGGAACTGTCACAGTCTATTTTGATCACTTTTCACCTATCGTCTATCGGACTATCGTCGTCTTGGGGTCAGGTTTTGACTTGCAACCTAATGAGTATGGCTCCACATACCCTGCCATACCAGAAAATACGGACTACGTGGGACATGGTCAAGATTTCAACATGTCATCTTTCAAAGGAAACTATACCAGACCCTGGCAGCTCAATCAGAAAAAATAAGGATTGAAAAAGATTGAAACGTCCTGAAGACGTTTTATTCTTCTCTGGCCCTGGCAGCTCCGTTGCTTCAGTTTCCCGCCCCGGTGTGGTCGGGTCCTGGGGTGTTGTTGGTGTCAACACTTCGGAGCATTCGCATCAACTCCGGAGAAACCTCGACCTGAGCGGAAGACAACGGGGCTTTGATGAGACAAGGGTTGAAGTTGTCAAGGGTCACCTTCGGCTTCCTTCGTCAAGAAAATTCGAAAAGAACGGGGCGAACTGGAAGACAAGGAAGGAAGGATCGGGTCACTCGGGCGGTGCAAGGATCACGTGGTCTTGGAAGGTTTTGTGGGTGGTAAAATCCCAAAAGGTCTGAAGATGCATATGATGAGTCCTAGTTGAGCTCACCGTGTTTTGGGACACATCTGTGCTTGGTAGACCCCTGATTTGGCAAGAGATCCAGTAGATACTAGTAGATTCTTCTGGCTTCACCTGTCAGGGACACCTTTGACCAACCTGCCAAACGGGCCTTGCCGTCCAAAACACCGGACAAAAAAAAACACAAACCCACCTGGTGTTGGTCAAGCTGGTGAGACCAGGGCTCCAGGTTGAATGACTCATCGTCATGTTGATCTTTTTCAGACTGAAACTGATATCAATCAACAAAAAAACATGTAAGTATGGAGAGGTCAAGCACATCCTCCAGGACCTGACTCTGGGATTCGGGGGCAAGGCAGATTTCTTGGTGATTTCCTTGTTGGCCATTTGGTGCCGTTCTGAACTGGGATCGTTGGTTTTCGTCCGACCGGGAGTGCGTTTTGCGTGTCCAAGTCCTCTTCCAAGATATTAAAGGATTGCCCTCAAACCGACAGGGAACATGAAACAGAATGAAACTGGTAGTCCTTGACCTTCAACTCGCCAGGAAAATGAGTTTTTGCAACCCACGCTAACCACCCGAATGAAACTAAATAAAGGCGAGGTGCGTGAGTGTCGTCATCCGCCAAGAAAGAGCTACAATCCTTGCCAGCCCAGCCAGCTTGGCATTCACAAACACCAGACCTGGCAGTAGCTTTCAGCAGTCTGCTCGGTCGGATGTTTGTGCAAGAAAACGGCGCATGCCGAACCCGAGTCAAATTGGATGCCCAGTCTGCTCAGTTCTCTCTGATGTCGCTGTCAGGGTGACAAAAATGATCATTTCCAGGCACTCCATGGGACTGCCATATATGTCTACATTGACCCCCAAAACCACCCCAATGTATGCATGTATGGCCGTCCCATGGAGTGGAGTGTCTGGGATCGGGGTCGCCCACGCTGCTCGGCTTCTGGGCGGATAGACGTCCGCTGCTCCGAAAAGGGTCCCCACCTGCAAAGGCCGTGCTCACCACACGTCGGTGCGCAGCTTTGAACTTGCAAGCCAGCAAAGGTGGATCGCAGCAGAAGAAAAAGGATAGCACCACCTGGGAGAGTTCGGGGCGTGGATGATGGGTGATCTGTGATCGAAGCTGAAACATCTGGCAGATTCCAGAGTTGCAGAGATTCCAACCTCCCAAGATCGGCCCACCAAGACCTCCCAAAGCAGACCTGGACGATTCCAGACCGAGCTACTGGCCACCAGACCAACTCCGGCTCCACCACCTGACCTTCCCGGTGTCACATTTTCACCAGACCTTCCGCGGGGTTTGGGTTGAGAGAAACACCGGCATCGAGCTTCACCCAGAGCTTCACCCGAGCTTCACCTGTGGCGAAAGAGAGAATGAAAGAGTTCCACCCCATCTCGCTCCGCTGGGCTGGGCTTTTGGGGTATGGACACCCCAGAAGCGAGAAGCAAATTGGATCGATGGTCTGGCCGCCTGGCCGTCCCAAATCCTAAAATGGACATCGCACGTGATCGCCCAGTCTTGGATAGATTCTGAGTGCGCTAAGCATCACCCTCCTTATTGAGGCTGTTCATCTTCCCATCTACCAGGGCCTATCTACCTGGATCCACTTAAGTTTCTGACACGCCAGTCGTGGCAAATGCATATTCTGAAGTAAAAACCCGCATTTTGAGGGGTGGGGAAGAAATCTGGAACTTTGAAACATTTACTGTAGAAAGGCCTTTGCAAATCCCTGCAATGTTTGAAACCATTTGCCATTCAAGCTCCAGCCACGCAGTTGCATGGCAGCTCCTCCAATCTAGGTTCACCCGCGCACGTCGAAAAGGCGCAGGCTCACCGCTTCATTCGATGCCGGGCAGTTCGAGCCCCGCCCGAACGTCGTCCCTGCTGGTTGAGCCGAGACAGCAGCCAGAAATCGTTTCAGATGGTTGTGGTGGATGGGGTGTCCAATGAGTCAAACCGGCAGTTCTGGGAATCAAGGGCAGTTCTGGGAAGAAAGCAGTGACCCCCTCTCCTGAACAGCCTGACACGCGGATGAGGATTTCCTCCTAAGGTCCTAGCGAGGTTATGCTGCTCGTCTACTGGGACCAATGGGGGATCCGCCAACCCGGCTTGAGATGAGTGAATAGACCACCTGTGGAGCTGGCCTCTAAACTACTCTTAAAAAGAAGCACCAGCTTTAGCTTGCTCTCAAACAGGTCAGAGCCTGCCAGTAGGTGGGGTCGGGGTTGACACCTGAAGATGCGAACCGTCGTGGTACTGAAACCTTCCAGCTTGACCCCGTCTGCAAAATTGGGACGGACAGCCAAGGACGCCCAACCAGTTGATGTTCCAAGGACGCCCAACCATTTTCCAACAGGTTCAGCTTGTTGTCTACTCAATTTTACTGCAAGCGGGTGCAAATGACCAATCATTACCATGTGTATGTTCTTTTGTTATGAACTTCATTCAGGAGTGAAAACCGAGGAAAACTCAGTTTTAACTAGAAACATATGGTTGTGCCAACATGGCTTGCAAACGAGATCCTTACATAAATCAGTGGTTGGGACTGGGGAAACATCCATTTCTGGCTAGGACTGGGTATCCAGAAGACCAGTCCGAGTCCCAGCCCTTGCTGTAATACACAGACTGAGACTGACCAAACCCAGTGCCCAATAAACATAGGAGGTCTATGGAGGAAACACCAACTCCCATATCCTCTACTTGTCGTCACCTGTCCACACCCTCCGCCTGGGTCCGTGACGCCCCCGTCGGGCCGAACCGCGCGGTGAGTCGCCTTCGTGATGTCGCCGGTTCGTGAGTCGCAACAGGAGATCAACGGGAAGCTCATGTGAAACTCATGGAGAAAAAAAAGGAACTTCAAAACAAAGCTGTTCCACATCAAACAATCAAAGAAAGAGCCACAATGGAAACAGCTGCTTGGGACTGTACCTGGACCAGGGGGACACCTGGCTGACCACCGTTGATCCAACTTTCTTCCTGCCGACTCCAGTGTTCCGACTCTGAGGGATCACGTGAAGAAGGAGACCACATGGTCCCCACATGGTCCCCAAATAGACCGTGGAAGGCCGGTTTCCTGTCTACATGTCTATAGTGGGGATCTATTTCTTCTATCTATTTGGGTTTTTTAGTAGAGACCATGGAGTGAGAACTCCATGGTCACATCTCACCATGTAAAGACCGAGTTCTTTCACCAAACGGTCTTTCATGTCTCCCGGATTGTGTGAATTGTGTGCATTACTTTCTGTTTGCATGTCACCATGAACGAACACACAGCCGTGCCTGTCACGCTCACAAAAATAGAAAGCTGCTAGCCCTTACTTTTCAACAAGCTGTCAAGCAGGCTTTAACGCTGCCTAAACACCAAAAAACATTTGCAGAGGAAAAACGCATTCGTAGAGGGTCCTAATCAAGGGTCACATCATGTCAAATCATCTCAAAGTGTGGTTGTTGGCTTTGAAAAACCTATCGCATCCCATCGGAGCGAGAGCACGACTGCATGGCAGCTACGAAGCCAGAGACGAGAAAACCCTAAACCCTTCCCCTACATCCTCTTCTTTCTGAATCACTGTAGCCCCCAAACATTCACATTCCTCCCTGCGCGGCTCATCCAAGAGACACCCTTCAGTAGGTACCCTTTCATCTTTCTCCCAAGCAGCAGAGGCTTGATTTCTTCAGACTCTGATTGTCTCCGTCAGTGAGTTCCATGTTCAGATCTCAGCAACTATAGAGCCTCTCGGAGTTCGGGGCAAGCTACTACACCCTGCAAAGAAGTTTGAGTCGTGCTTCAGAGACTCTGGAAGCCGCAGGCTGCTCAAGGCAGTGCATTCTCCGAAAGCATGGTATCCCAACTGTGTCACTGACTCTGGGATCGTCAGGCTCTTCAAGGACCGGCAGCCTTGGAAGGCACAGAATCCAATTCGACACATGGAGTCGGGGATGGTCAGACTTCGCAAAGAAGAGCAGCCTGCAAATGCCAACTGTCCAATTCGAATCACTGAGTTGGGGATGGTCAAAGTAGACAAGGCAGTGCAGTTTTGGAAGGCGTTGGGTCCAATCTCTGTCACAGAACTGGGGATGTTCAAACTCGTCAAAGAGCTGCAGCCCCGGAAGGTACGCTGTGAAATTCGAACCACTGAGTCGGAGATGGTCAAGCTCCTGAGCGATGTGCATCCCTCAAAGGCGAAGCTCCCAATCTGCACCACGGAGCCGGGGATGGTCAAGGCTACCAAAGAGCTACAGTCTTCGAAGGCATTCTCTCCGATCCAAGTCACTGAGTCAGGGATGGTCAAAGCTCTCAAAGACCTACAGCCAGCAAAAGCACTGAACCCCAAGCGAGTCACTGAGTTGGGGATGCTCACACGTGCCAAGGAGCTACACTCACGGAAGGCATAATCACGAATGACCTCTACTCGTTCGGGGATGCGCACGTCCAGCAAGGCTCGGCCATTGGGGACGCTTTCTCGGCTACTGCATTCCACGGCCGGGGTGGTGGTGAAGATAACCTGGCAAGCGGTCATAGTCAAGAAGTCAAGAAGCGGCATCCTATGCCCCTAGGCCCTAGAGCCATGAAAACGGAACAGAACCATTTGTTGAAGGTATGCCCAAACATACATATTTACTCAACAGGATGTGTTCTCACCCACCTGCACATCTGCTGTTGGAGAAATGCCAGCCGAAACCACGGTCTCATTCTCGTTCTCCAACTTCCTCATTCGCGTTGACAGAGCTTTTCTGGGGTTCAAACAGACGGAACAAGGGAGGTCAAGCTACCGTGGATGGGATGAGTCTTGACTACCGTGGCGCAGCTTCCAAAGAAACGAAACACAGCAGCGTCCGATGAGTCGGGATTCTGGCCATCCAGGACAATGTGCGGAGTGCTCAGTTGTCGGGTCAGCTCATCTTCAGATGGATGCCATGCCTCTGGCGTCTGCTTCGACCATCCAGGTCAGTCAACAAAGAACGTTGGCCGTGCACTGACAGTTGGAAAAGAATATACCACCTTTGCCCCGTGTGCTACCCAAATCAGCTCGGTGCTGCTTCGGATCTCTTTTCAAACATGGCGAGAAGAGGATTCTGTTGCTAAAGGTCAAAGTACGTACAGGAGGGTTTATCCTACTATTTGAGAGGATGATGCTGGTCGCTGCCCATAGTGGAGAGCAGGCCAATGCACCATAGACACAGAGGTCCAAAACCCTGTCAATGTTGCCTTCAGGCCTTCAGGCGCTGTTTCATCTCCTGGATGGTCATGTCTGGCAGGATCTCCAAGATACATGTCTTGCCACTCATCAACTGCACAGGAACGCTCATGGCCACAGCTTCGCATGCTTGGCATGCTTCGCTTCCCATGGCAGATCCAGCGACAACGAGATGAACAGTTCTCGTGGCTGTTTTCAATTCACACGTTTCCGAAAACGTGGCTTGTCGGTAGCTCAGTAATTAGGTAGTAGCGCTCAAATCTTAGGTGTCCATCAACAGGATCAACAAGCAAAGTTAAAATCAAGTGACAATATGCAATCTTCCATTAAGTCGATCGATCAAATGAAGCACGCTTTATCAATCAAATAAAATCTCTCTAAGAGTCTAGGGAGTCTAGGGGGGGCCTGGTGCCCCTCCGCCTGTGAAAGGGACAAGAGTCTGAAAACCTTCTCTAGCTCATCTGGGTGTGTCACTATGTCTTGTGTTTGGCCTGAGCAGACAAATTCTAGGCCTAGGTTCATGCATTGCCAACTCAATCAATCCAGGATGCGTGACCAAAATGAACCCCCCAAAAAAGCAAGCACGCTTCCTCTGGGGGGTCATGAGAATCCCCAAGATTCTGATCTTAATTCGACCAGACCAAGGGTTTCTGTCCATGAGAAGACTCCTCTCGCGACCGATGTCCGACTCCCAAGCAGAGACTCTTCTCGAGCTCCGGAAAGACACCTGGTAGAAAATCCCACAAAACAGGGTGTCACTGTTCCACACTGTTCCAACAACAAAATGCCAAGGGTAGAGGAGGAGACTCGTCCTCATCGTCCTCGCTTCGCACGAAACCGTAAAGCACGATGTTCCATCCGCAATCCATGACCATGAGCGATTGTTCAAGGAGTGAGAGTCACGAGACTCGAATGTTTGAGTCCGACACTGTATGAGAGTCCGACCAACCTGTCTGGGTGTCCGACTACCCTGCGCTACTTAGGGATCTCCATTGCACATTCATGGGATGGTCCAGGTAGATCTATCTGCATAAAACTAATTAATACTGTCATACAAATAAATGGGTTATCTTGGCCTCACTGTCAACCCCCCAAGATTTCCCACCTCCGCCCAAGGCGCCTGGCGAGGCCTTTCACGTCCTCGTCAAGGGCAAGATCTCCTCGACCAGTCCTCCGCAGCTGGGAGGGGGAGGGAACGTTGCCAGGAATAACCATCAGCACAGGACTGTTGAGGGTATGGGTATAGGTAAATGATTGAATACACGATTATTGTATGCAGCAAATGGGGGCCGGATGATCAATTGAAATACTTACAATACAGCAGACTGCAGGCAGACTGCAGGCAGACTGCAGGCAGACTGCAGGCAGACTGCAGGCAGACTGCAGGCAGTACCTGGCACCATAGCAAGGATCATCTGTTGTAGTTTTGCTGGGTGTCCCATGATGTGTTGATCCCCAGGCTTAAAAAAATGCAACGCTTCTGCAAACCGTTTTGGGCGGACAGTTTTTGTGAGTCACTCACCCGACCCGGTTCCCGGACCCGTTGGACCCGTTGGACCCCCCGGTTTCCCGGGAAGCCCGGTTCGCGGTCGCCCGGTGATGAAAGAGAAGACACCCGAACCCACGAAACCCTCTGAGATGGATGGATGGACATGGAGAGCTCCCACGTAGAGACCGACCCCTGACCTGGAATCCCACCGATCGTGTGCAACTGTGAAGCGAGCGAATCCGAAACGCGCTGGTGTTCGATGCTGTCGGGCCGGGCGGTGGAAAACAGAAGCTTCGTTGAACCCCATCTGCCCCTTTGGCTTTCATCCCAACATGGACCAGGCCACTAGACTACTAGACAGAAAGTGAATACAGTGAGTATCTTAAACCCAGAGGAACATCTTGGTGGGCCTTGTCTGACTCCTCCTGGGATGTTCCTCAAGCATCCTTTGCCACGTCTTCATTCCCTCGCCCCCACGACCAAAACGCCCGAAAGCTAGCACCTCGGAAGGAGCCAGCTTCACGCCTATGCGGGCAAAAAAACGGTCATTTTCAAGTGCCGGTCCTCGAGTGCAAAAATAGAATGAACCTAAACACCGCTATCAAACCCAAAATAACCCTAAAAGCCCAAGAGACGTTTAGATACGTTTGGACTCGATAGAATGGATCATCTTGACATGATCCCGGCGCGCGTCCGGTCTATGTGCCTCAGCTCGTCCACATGCGCTGCGCGTTTCACGCGCCGCCGTCGTCTTCGCGTCCGGTCGTCGTCGCTGGATGACCCGACTCGACCCGCAGTCCGGGGCGAGCGAAGAAAGGAAAAGAGCCAGGATGTTTGGGGGGGATGGGACACACGTGGGTCGATCTATTAAACCACCGGTGCTGGAGAGAAGAGACTGAAATTTCCGCACAGCCAGATCATGCCACGCTAAGTCAACCAGGACGTGTTGCCTGGACAACAGCTCATCTCCAAGTCATCATCCACCAAGATCCCTAGGTTGTGGTTTTTCACCCAGAGAGGACACCCAGTCCAGACACCCTCACAGGAGTTGAAAGGCTTTCGCGACTTCAATCCATTCAGTATCTTCTCGATCAAAGACCAATAGATTATATCAATAGATCACCCAAAAGCCTAAAAGTCTCCTCCCCTTGCCTCCCCTCTAGCCTGGGGCTTCTTCTGCCTGTCTGTTACGGAATCTGTGGGGGAAGGATATTCTCTGTGTCAGAAACTTTGAACCAATTTCGCTCATCAAAAGGAGCCCTCCTTTATCAAACTCCAAGATGCATATTATGAGTGATGGACTAAATCTCCTCTAGCCTCTTGGGTTGGCCCCCTTCCTCTTCCCATTCTGAACCAACCCGATTTCGTCAATTCCTCATATGGCCAGGTTCCATTGACAGCGTGTGTTTCTCGTCTTGATTCTACCAGAGGGTCACTTGTTCCAACGGAACATACCTGGTCAGCACTTCAGGATGAATCAGCATGCGCCTGTGCCAGAGAAGAGGAATGTCCCAGAGATGCAAATGCCTCAGCCGAACGACATGCACGAATGTGAGCTGCCCTCCCAAAGACCACCCATTACTTCGAACTGTTGGACACCCAATTGTCAGTCTCTTCCGAGAAACCAGTTCTCCTAAATGTTGGCTGAAGACCTCAGCTAGCATTCTGGCGAAGCATTGAAAAGCGCACATGTACCTGGCCTGTACCACCTGTACCCTGTTGGTTATCATTCCAGCGCATGATCAACGATAGAACACGAAAAAAAAAACAGACACCTGAATGAACAAGGACTCCCAGCGTCATCTGTCGTCACCTGTCGTCAGACGTTCATCGATTTTTCTCGGCCGTCCGCGCATCCCGGGCCGCCGGGCCGTTGCTTCAGGCGTCGGAAGGGGTCGCGGTGCCCGTCCTGGGAGTCCATCATGGTGCTCTTTGGACTGCTTGGAATTCTGGAGATTCTTGTGGTTAATTTTCTGTGTGTTCAGCTCCAAGATCCCCTCCATTTCGCCACACTTCGCTGGTCCCAAAAGCTGGCGGTTCTCCATCCTGGCCTCCCAAAAGCTGGCGGTTCACCCACCAGACACCCCAAAACCCAGCAGAGCGGTCCGGCCTCCCTCCTTCCGTCCGCGTCAATGCCGAGCCATTGACCATCTGGCACGTTCCGCCAACGCCGGCCGCGGCACGGAGGCCGGTGGGGTGAGCTGTGGTAGGGTCGAGATTGATCTGATGTGACCAATGCAGCAGGCTGAAGCCATGGGCACCTTTCTGCGCCAACCCCCCACTGAACACCTCAGGAATCTGATGCTTGAACCCTTCCAGGAGTGCCTTTGGCTGGTCCATGGAGTCTGAAAAGCAGTGTCCACGGTCCCACCACTTCGTCCAAGCGACCAGACACGGGCCGACCCGCGAGGAGTGTGGTAGGCCGACCCGTTGAGGTCCAGACTGGACGCTCCATGGCCGAGAAACGAGGGACGCAAGGAGAACCTCTGATTCAGACGCCAAAAGAAGCGTGCTCGCTGTGCCAAGGAATGGGCCATGCTGACGTCCGAACGATCGCCTGGTTTAAGCTTGGCCAACTCAAACGAAAACAGCCGCTCGCCTTTCAGTTGGATCATCATCGGCAACCAGTAGAAGTCTCTGATGATTTGGCCCTCGGCCACACGCGCCACCTCGATGCCGGCCGCCTGCCAAACTGTTTGACCGAGCGAGTTCGTGGCGCTGGCAAGGCTCCAGGTCTTTGTTCTACTAATTAGTTGAAGACTCTTAATTCTATGTCAACCCCCAGATAAAGAGGTTCTATCATCTTGGGACTTTGGGCAGAATGCCGGGCCTCTAAGGCACCAGTTGAGTCGCGACAGAATGTAGCGCATGGAAAGAAGAAGTTCTTCACATCCACAGGTTTGAGGGGTTGATCAAGAGTCGGCATAGCACACTGCACCGTGCCGCTGGAGAGGTGGGTCTGTGCGCCACGCAGTCTGCACCACGCAGTCTGCTACACCTCCCCCGAGTGGCGTCAGTGATTGTACAGAGGATGACATCGGGACTTATAGCTATGTAATGAGGATGGATGACAGGAAACCAGGATACCTTGCAGTGATAGTAGACATCGTCAAATCGGTCAAACACCCTGAAACCCGGCTGTGAACCGTTCAGGTGGCCCACGACACCGAACGGGATCCGTCGGGTCGACCTCTCGGGATTCATCCGAAGGCGGTGATCCCCAAGCGATCGGGACATCTCCGAACTCGTTGGGTCTCCAACACAGGCCCAGCAACTTAGACGGGGCTCTGAAATCAGACGTCCCTTCAATAAAAGAATCTCAAAATACGACCAAAACCAAGCAAGTTCAGCCCGAAACTGACCTCGGACCCCCGCACTGCAATGCCTCGGGCCCCGAAATCCCACTCACTGCGCTCCGCCTGCAATGCCTCGGGCACGTGGCCCACGGCCTTGAGCGCCTCATACAGCGCTGGCGTGTGGAGTTCTGTGGAGCTCTCTGACGATGATTGCCGGCGTTAGCTAAAACCCTACAGGGCTGGCAGGGCCCTATGTTGACCAGCTACGGCAGCTGCAATTGGACCTGATGCCCCCCACTTGGTAGTGTCCCAAATGCTGATTCTGGTGAGGAGTGGAAGTGCTTTAATTGTAGATTCGGGTGAAGAGTGATTCAATCTGTTTCCCAATTGTGATTGCAAAAGGAAAACAATTGAATTGATCCTTTTTCCAATTCATCCAGACTAAGTATCTCAAAGTCTGGGAACCCCACCGGCCAAAAATAAAGGTGTCTTCCAAAATGCTTCACCGTCCCGTCCGCCCTGCCGACCACCTCCTCGTCGGGCGCTTCGAGAACCACCTCTTCCGGCCTGTGAGTGTCCATGGACCGCCGCGACGCGCGGGGGCATGTCTGGCTTTGAGGGGTTCACCCGGTTCACGGTTTTTCACCACCTCTCAAGAAGCGTTGCAACCGTTGGCTTCGAGTAAATGTTCACATATAATTCAAGTCAATGTTTGGACCAAATTCGTTTGGTACTCTGAATGGTCCAAACATTCGAATCCTGTTTTCAAGAGAATAGGAGGAGCATCAGAAACCTCTCACGGCGAAAAACACCCTCTTCCAGGCGACCGGTGTATTTTTAAACCCACGGACAGGGAGGCGTTCCCGCCAGGAACGGTGATGTGGAACGGTTGGACCGTTCGCGGTCCTATTCCCCATCGTGTAGTCCGACTATCCTATATGGAGGTGTTCATCTATGTGTTTTGCGCCCCAAAACGGAGGGTTTATGATGAAACACCCCATGAAATGGATGAGTTGGGTGTCTCCCCATTGATGGAAACCCTCAGACGTTTAATCAAAAATACCTCTTTCTGAATGCTCAAAGGATCGAAGAGGTGGGGAAGTTCTTGGTATCGACTCCCCGCATCGCCCAATCCATCGCCCTTCGAAGCGATTTCAGACCAAATCGACTAATCCGAGAATGAGAAGAGAATGAGAAGAGAATGCGTCGACTGGTCAGTACTCTTGGCATCTACACTCTTTACCTTTTATTGGCCCTCTTTTTTCATCGGCCGATCCTTTCGCCGATCCACGCATTCAACGACGCATCGGGTGTTCGATCTGCCGGGGCGTTCTCCCGCGGTTCCACGGTCACAGCCCCTGGGGCGCGGTTCCGCTTCCGCGGAACAATCACGCTCCTCTGAAGCACCGTGTGGTTTCGAAAGAGCATGAAGGTTGTGCTGCGTGCGGTCGCAGAAATCCTCTGAACAAAATCCTGCCTGCAGGTTGATGTTCTTCTTGCCCTTAGTACCTTTGGAACCCACCCCGCCTGTAGCATGCATCCCAAAGCTCTTCAGCATCCTCGAGTGCTCTTCGAACATCTTCTGCGTTTGGGTCATGCAGAATACTCAAAGTGACCTGGCAAAGAGTCAACAAAAATAATTGCAATCGCGTGGTAGATAGAAACGCTGTACACAGCGTACAGGACAGGTCTACAAGAGACTTGCCCTGTCAATCATTCCGGAACCACTAGGCTGAGTACCACTGCGCACCAATCCTGGCAATGAATCTTACGCTCAAATGCCTTTGCTGATCCCTACCGCAAACCATATAAGCCTTCTCGCAGGGTACATGACAAAACATCTTCACAAACATGGAGCTGGACCGTGCACCCAGGCCTTTTTGAGACTGCCAAGCCAAGAACCACATGGAATACATCATTCAAGCTGTACACAGATTGGGCTGCGGCTAGCTGAACAAATCTTGGTCCTCTGTACACTGCACAACACAACGCCAAGGCTCCTTGAGAGCCTGCGTCATAGGTTCATTGGCATCAAAATACTAAGCCTAAGCAAATCTATGCTCAGTGCCTTACTGAGCTGTAGCTGCAAGCTCAACTCGAAGATACCCTCTGCGGACTTTCTGCATCACAGCACTGCTCTCTAGCTCCAACCTGTCAACATATGGTAAAACGCTTGGTGATCTAAAAAAGCTTGGCCCCTGTTGTTACTAGGAGGCGTCACAAAGAAAACAAAAGAAACCACACATAACACACTCACTCTTCACAAATTGTGCAGCCAGGTGGCTTGCGGTCCAACTTCTTCTCTTGCAACACGTCCAATGGGCTACCGGCAGCCAGTCGATCTTCCAAAGCTGCAATCTCACGCAACTTCTTCTCGATCTTCCTTGCTTCCCGTTCTTCGCTTTCCGTCAACACCCCCCTTTGAGGCCTTTGGGGCTTGGTGTTGCGGCGAGCTGAGTTGGAGCTCACTGCAGTACTGATCTCGGAGGTCTCACTCTTGGTGTCCTCATTCCTCTTGGCCATCCGAGCGGCTCTCGCCTTGTCTGCTTTCAGCTTCTTTTCACAAGCGAACTTGGTGTGACCCTCCTCTTTGCAGTACGCACAGGTGAGCGACATCTTGAGCAACATCTGGTCCAAAACCGGACACTTGTTGCTTGTGTGGCCCACTGCCTGACAATGATCGCAAGTCTTGAAGAAAGGCTTGGAGCACGCGACGGCACGGTGCCCCTC